AGGTTTCTGGCCGTTGCTTACAATGTTGCGATTCTGCGGGCTGAAGTCCGGCAGTATTCCTTACAATGTTTCTTAACCGGCAGGCTCAGAGGCCTGCAGCCGCAGGCGGGGAACGTTGGTTTCCTCCGTCACTGAAGCAAGCAAGCCTCATGTTAGTTTCAAGCTGCCTGGCTTCCAGCCGCCATCTTGGCTGACAGTTAATTTGCATATCTCGCTGATTAGCCAATGAAAAGGGTAGTGGTCATATGCCAATTACCATGTTTCTCTTTTATTAATGTAGATTAGTGGTGAATAATCTGTGTATCTCTTCACTAGTGAGGTTAACTTTGATGCCTTGATTATGGTGGTGTCTTACTCTTTTTCTTTTAATAATTCGCAAGTATTTGGGGTGGGGGGAGATATTTTGAGACTATGTAAAATATTCCATTTCACTGCTACTTAAGGAAAAAGCATACTTTGTAAATGAATAACAAAGGAAATACTAGCCTTAGAAGTAATATTTGTATGAACAGTTAATAAGACTTAGCAGCAATGATTGTAACTGCCCAGTAATGTGCAAATTGTAAATGCTTATACCTAAATTTATCTGAGCTAAAGACTTCCTTTCCATGCACTTAAAAGAAAAACTAAAACATTTTTTAAAAGTTATTCAACTCAGATTAATGAAACGTTGCTTTATCTCCAAGTCCTTAAACCAGTGGCTCTCAACCTTTCTAATGCCACGACCCTTTAATACAGTTCCTCATGTTGTGGTGACCCTCAACCATAAAATTATTTTTGTTGCTACTTCATAACTGTAATTTTGCTACTGTTAGGAATCGTAAGGTAAATATCTAATATGCAGGATGTATTTTCATTGTTACAAATTGAACATAATTAAAGCAGAGTGATTAATCACAAAAACAATATGTAATTATATATGTGTTTTCCAATGATCTTAGGCGACCCCTGTGAAAGGATCATTCGACCCCCAAAGGAGTCGTGACCCATAGGTTGGCGACCCACAGGTTGAGAACCGCTGCCTTAAACCAACAGTACAATAGGAGCAAAAAGTGCAAAGGTCAGGCCATGAGATCAGAATGAAGAGAAATGAAAGAGGAGAACCTAAGACAAGGTAGATGTGAGAGAGAAGGCAGAAGGGATGGAAGAGAGGAATGAGAGAAAGAATAGGCCACAGAGGGCAATGGAGAGAGAATAAAGAACAAGGTGATAAAAAAGAACACAGTGGATGAAGAAGATTCATGGAGGGAATGAGTGAAGAGGGAGAAGAAGAGAAGGCATGAGGCACAATGAATTAAAGATACTGCTATCAATCTACCTCTATTAGAATGCTGAAAATGAAGCCACATGGGATGGTGTTTTTCCTAAAACAAACATCGGAGGAAGGGCTATGAGAAGTAGGGTACTGAAATGATGAGGACAGCTCTGCGGTGTCTCACCATTTTGTCAAGGTGACATATTTGACATGTGGAAGTTAAGATCATGATCCAAACTCGAGGCCTGAATTTGAGATCCATATGAAAATGCCAGTGTTTGGTTGGTCAATATTCAGTCTTCTGAGAGAAATTAAAGTGAGCAGCACTGGGAGGCCTGCCACATGGTAACAGGAGCACGTGCTGCCTCATTCTGCCTCCCACCGAGGGGCCACTTACCGCCGGAAGTGCCAAGCTTGCACCTTGAAGCAGACACCCTGAAGTTACAGCCTGAATTGAGTGCCTAGTACATGCTAGGCTCTCATTAAATACTTGTTAAATGTTTGAATGAATAGTTCTTCCTTGTTGGTCATTCTTCCCTACATCTCTTTTGGAGACTAATTTCCAGGACAAGAAGAAGCGAAGTCAGTATGAAAATTTTAATAATTCAAGGCAGTAGGCATAGAATCTCTATACACTTGATGAAAATATTACACAGAAAAGATCTCAAGATACTATGTAGATCTTCGTCTCCTTCTCTAAGAATATGCTGCGGATTATAACCCACTCACTGAATCAGGAACCATGAGCCTATCTATATATATAAAAGCCCAGCGACCAGAATGGCAGAATGACCAGAATGACCGGTGGCTATGACATGCACTGCGGCAGCCAACCAGCCTGATCCGGGCCCCAGTTGGCCTCCCCCTTCACCTCAATCAGGGACGGGGCTGACTGGCCAAACACCCACAGCCCCTCCCCCCGGCCAGCCCGGTCCAATGCGCCCCCAGTGGGGCACGTTGGCCAGACCCCACCTGTGCATGAATTCGTGTACCAGGCCTCTAGTTCTGAAATAAATAAATAAATAGTTGATGTGAAATGGAATATTTACATAGTCTCAAAATATCTCCCCCCAAAATACTTGCTAATTATTAAAGAAAAAGAGTAAGACACCACCATAATCAAGGCATCAAAGTTAACCTCACTAGTGAAGAGACACCCAGAGATCATGCACCACTAATACGACGTAATGAGAAGAACATAGCATCACTTCTGTGATATTCTTGCCAAAGTATTGAGAAATATTTTATAAAATAACTATCCTATGACCTTTAAAAGCATCAGGGTCATGGAAGGCAAGTAAGGATTGAGGAATTGATCCAAATTGAAGGAGGCTAAGGCCACATGACAGGTAAATGCAATGTATGGTTCTGAACCAGGTGTTTTTGCTCTGGTGGACATTGTCAAGGCAGCCGGTGGGTGGCATTTACAGTGTATGTCTTATCTCCCCTACTGCCCTCCCTCTGTGCTTTGTGTGTCCCTATAACTCAATTTGCCACCTTCTGCACCTTATTTTTCTAAGACAACTTTCTGCATGCATCACTAAAGCTGCAAAAGGCAGTGGTGAAGTTTTGATAGATTCCCTAATCTTAGCACTAGTATTTTCACATGCCTCTCAAAATCAGCACATCTTACTTCCACAGTATTACGAATACTTATTTTGAATCAATTTTGCCACTAGAGGTCAGCGGTGTTCCACCTCAAAGAGAATATATAAATGTAATGAAGTCATTAGCAGTTCCCTATCTGTGCCCTTAAATGGCATTCATGGTGTCTGTGTTTATTCTTAATACCTCCGGACAGTTGTCAGACATATGCTATGAGGTGACATCAGTTGTCACTCTAGGTCAGTGGTTCTCAACCTTCCTAATGTCGCGACCCTTTAATACAGTTCCTCATGTTGTGGTGACCCCCAATTTCATTGTTACAAATTGAACATAATTAAAGCATAGTGATTAATCACAAAAACAATATGTAATTATATATGTGTTTTCCGATGGTCTTAGGTGACCCCGTGAAAGGGTCGTTTGACCCCCAATGGGGTCGCGACCCACAGGTTGAGAACCGCTGCTCTAGGTGATATTCCACATGCGCCTAATGTTGTGGAAGGGTAAAGAGCCACGACTGTAAGTAACCATGAAGAAAATTGCTTCTCACTGGGATGTGATGAGGGGCCGTACGATAATTTGATAGAAAGTAGTGTAAGCTCTGAGGAAAGACACCGTGGAAATCCAGTGTCATCCTCTAACATAGCTCAGACACTGCCTTTTATAAGATAGAAAAAGTAAGGACCCAGAACAGAACATTCATTCGTTCAACCAACATGTAGTTGGGAATGAGGCTACGTTAATGAAGATCAGTTGGTGCCCCAACGTACTTAAGAATCAGGCATTCATGAAATCCTAGAGGGCTAACTTGTTAGCTAGTAAGTAGTGCAAAATTTCAGATCTGACAGAAGAACTCTCCCAAGTTGATTATTTTAAGTATAAGTGGTTACCAGGGAAACAGAATACTATGAAAAATATGCTTGTGTATTGAAAGTAAGATAATCCATGAGCAGCGTAGCATTTTAGAGCCTTGCTAGCAAATCATGTGCACTCTTTCATAGAATATTAGTTATCACTGTAACTGACTCCTAATGCCCTTCAAATAATCACTTTGTCTTTTTAAAACAGAACTCCTTGTATGCTCCAAGAGCCCAATGATTAGTCTTGATTTTAAAGCAGATTACTTTAAAATAACTTATTTTAAAGTTAGTGGAAGATGCTCTAGGTGATATTCCACATGCGCCTAATGTTGTGGAAGGGTAAAGAGCCACGACTGTAAGTAACCATGAAGAAAATTGCTTATTCCTAAAACATGTAGTAGTGGAAGATGTACCCAGTTGAAATGACTGATAATGGTAGATTCATATATAGAGAATCAGAGAAACCCCGAACTACAGAAGCTGGAATAGAGCAAAGATAACTCACTCAGGAGAGCCTTCAGAACCTGTGGCAGGCATGGTGCCAAGAGCACAATGGTTAAAAAAAAAACACAAAACAACCAAACCATCAAGGGTTCACTCTTAAAAATGGAGAACCATCAACAACAACTCATTGGTATTGTTATCTGAAAATTCCTCAATGTTATTTTATACAATATTTGAGAAGCAGGATGAACTCTATTCGAACTCTTCATTTGAGGAAACAGGAGTCTATAGTAAAGTGACTCATCCCCCACAGGGATGTGGTCAATTTCAAATATTTGGATTCACTACACTATCTAGCTCATAATAAACACTAAAAAAAAAATTTTTCTTACCAGCAAATATACAGGAAGAAGTATAGGTTGAGCCACAATTGGTACCCAGATTTTCTCATTTTCAAACCAATGCTTATTGCTTTTTTGATAGATCAGGATTTTTCAAACCAGTCATTTGTATACCAACATCAAAATTTTTGCCACATTAAATTAACCATATAAGTAATATCATTTTGAACTTGGCTTTGTTCTAGGTCAAGCATCTTCAAATTGAGAGTGGTTGCATTCATATTTTTTATTACAATAAAACATGTAGTAGCCAGGCCGGCATGTCTCAGTGGTTGAGCATTGACCTATGAACCAGAGGGTCATAGTTCAATTCCTGGTCAGGGCACATGCCCCGGTTGCAGGCTCCATCCTCAGTAGGGGGAGTGCAGGAGGCAGCCGATCAATGATTTCTCTCATCATTGATGTTTCTATCTCTCCCTCTCCTAAAAACATATTTTTACAAATATGCACCAATTGTAACTATTTTTAAAAGCTCATCTGTACAACCAGAGGTACGCAGTTTGGGAAGCACTGATTAGAGAAGACTATGTCAAGAGAAAAATAAGCAATAAGACTGGATAATCATTCCTAATTATTTTAAATTTTGTTGCAAAGTTCAAAGCTTGATTCCATGGAGACCCTAATGTCCTTCTGATTCTCATCTGAAAAACTCTAAAAAGACTCTGGTAATTTCTTTTTATCTATTAAACAAATGAATGAAAATGATTCTGATCAAATTAGCCAACTATTGGTTATTACCAGAAAATTATAATCTTGAGAAAAGTACACATGAACAACCTAACTTACCAAATAGCAATATGATATACTTTTAATTCTGGTTTTGAAATCAAGTTTCAGCTAGTAGAATATATGCCTTACTCACCAAGTTTTGGACAGCACTCATTCTCCAATGAATTCAATAACCTTTCAAGGGAAAAAGAAAAAGGAAAATATGAGTTCTTATTTAGAAATGAAATGAAACACATTTTGCAAATCAATGAGCTTAAAATATCAGGGAACACACCTGGTTACACTTGAAAGTTATCAAAATGCTTCCATTTAGCATATTTCACTTTAAAATATCCACAGTATGTTTAGAACCCTCTAATTACTAAAGACAAGTTAGAATTTTTTATGTGCATGATGAGAGCATGTCAGACTGGAATATCAAAATGATCTGTAAGTTCCCTATTTTGTTATTTATCATTTCTTCCTCATATAACTAACTGCCTTGTAACAACAGTTTTCAGTTTGGAGTTCCCCATTCTCTATGAAAATATTTTAATTTCTACTTTTATAGATGGTTTGACATTAATATATGCATATTCCAGTTCACGTGAATATTCATTATAATCAAATATTTCTATGCAATTTCAGTGGTTCCTATTTGTACTTGTATGTGTTCCCTATTCAAAAGAAGCAAACTTTAGTGCCTATTTTTAAACTAGTTTTTATTGGAAAAAATATAATGCAAGTATGGAACATTATACAAAATAAATATATAAATGAATGTTCACTTCATGATTACTTTGCCAAAATTTCAACTCCCTTTTTATATTCACTTGGGTGTTCCTTTTCTTCTTCTTCACATTTTTGTTATCTCAAGGACAGATCTTAAGTATGAGCAACACTGTTTTATCCAATTTGCAATATTTTGTGAATGCTCTATTGCTCTCTAACCTTATGATTATCTTTTTGTATGTTATTTTTTTAAGATAGTTTGTCTTAGACTTCCTTTGAAGTTTAAATTATCTACCAAGATATATGCTGGGTTCCAGAATTTTTTTTTTTTTAAAAAAAGGTGAATGCTCTAAAATAACCATATTCTACTGAATGGCAATCATTTTCTTGCATCCTTTACATGGTTTTTATCATCCAAGGATACATACAACATAAACCATAGGATTTTTGTTTGTTTAAAAGAAGTATGTATTTTAAGTGCCTTTTTACCTACAGCTTTTCTTTCCATTTTTTCCTCAGTGCAAATTACTTTCTTTTTGTTAAAGGAAGGGGCATTGTTTTTTTTTATTGTTTTTGTCTTGTTTTGTTCCATAGCCAGATTTTGCTAATTCTATCCAGGTAGAATGAACGAAATATATATATATAATCTGTCCACTGTATTTTGTGTAAAATTGCTATTTTGGGGGCTTGATCAGGTCAGGTTGCAATTTTCTTTTCTTTTTTTCCTGGCAAGACTATTCACAGGTGGTGGTGCATCCTTCTTCCATCAGAAAGTAATCGCTATCTGTGGGTCCTTTTTGTGATGTTAGTGATATTGGTGCTCAGTGTCTAGAACAGTGTTTCTCAAAAGTCATCTTCATTTCACCCCACCCCCAGCTCCTTTTAGACATACATTATTTTCCTAATCACCCCTTCCCCTTATGAAACTGTCTTTTCCCACACTTGGAGAGCCATAATTTCTTTAAATATACAGGGGTGGGCAAAAGTACATTTACAGTTGTTCATATGGAAAAATATATGCAGGATATGATTATTTATAACAGTTTTATTAACTCAAAATAATAAAATGTTTCATGTATTCACAACTGTAAACCTACTTTGCCCATCCCTGTATTTCAGTACCATACTCTCCTTTTTTTCTGGAACTCTGATGACATAAATGCTAGATCTTTTTTGTGGTCTTTTATTCCTGAGGTGATGGGATGTTTTCACACTGTTGATTTTTCTCTTTGTTGCTCAGATTGGATGAGTTCTACTGAGGTAGCCTCCAGTCGCTCTTCCCACTTCCATCTCCATCCTGTCATGGAGTCTTTGCAGACAGTTTTCTATTTCAATTATTTTATTTTCCAGATATAAAGTTTCCTTTTGGTTCTTATTTATAGCTTTTATTATGTTGCTTATACTTTCAATTATAACTTCTGTTTCAAGATTTTTAGTGATCACTTGTTCAAGTATTTTTTAATAGCTGCTTAAAATCTTTTCCAGATAATTTCAACATTTGTGCCATCTATTGATTACTTTCATGGAGTTGAGATTTTTATGCTTCTTCATAAACGGAATAACTGTGGATTAGACCCTGGATATTTTGACTGTTACACTATGAGCCCCTGGGTCTTGTTTCAGTCCTATGAAGAATGTTGATATTTTTGCCCTAGTAGAAACTTGAGTTGGTTAGGTTGGGCTGCAAGTTCCAACCCACCTTCTCTGGGCTGTGATTTCAAAACGTTTCAATTTGAAAAGTCTTTGCAGTGCTTTATTTTTACTTAATTTTGACAATTCTAATAAAGATTCATCGAAGTAGGTATTATGATACTCGTTTTACGGATAAAAAGGTAGGTTTCGATTCAGTCTATCACTAGCTATATGATATTGAACCTTGATTTTCTCATCTGTAAAATGGGATTGATAACATCTAGATCACTGGATTGTTTGAGGACTGAGTAAAATAACCCAAGAAACATGACTAGAATATTTCAAACCCTAAAGAAATCTTCTCTCGTTTAAAAATATCGGTTTTATTAAAGAAATATAATACATAATCAAATACACACGTTTTAAGTTATAGGATACACTGTGTAACTACCACGTCCATCAAGGTATTATAGAACATTTCCATTACACCAGAAAGCTCCCCCTATTCCTTTGAGGTCAACCCTCCATTCATCTTCCACCCCAGGCAACCACTGTTCTGACTTCTATCACACCAGATACGCTTTGTTTGCTCTAGAACTTTAAATTAATAAAATCATACAGATGGTACATTTTCTGCCTGGCTATTTTCACTCTGCAAAATATAATTCAGATTCTCCTATATCAGCAAACTGTACCCAAAGTGAAAAGCCAAGAAACAGGTAGTCATAATGTCACCCCTATAACTCAGGAGAATGCTACCACCATGTACTCACCATATACTGAAAACAAGAAGGATGTGCTTTATGTCAAGGGCCGTCTGTGAATGGTATCAAGCCAGATTACATTACACCCCAAAGCCTGACACACTGCGGGGATGACCTTGAGCAAGACATTTGTTTACTATGAAGCTTCCGTTTCTTTCTGTGGGTTGTTGTGAGGATGAATATGGAATAAGGTGAGAGAAAGCGCTATATATCAAAGTACAATTAAGGTATTTTGTCAATTCTAAAATATTATCCAATGGTCTTTGGAAGGGTTGCGGAGAGGAACAATCTACGAGAGGTGCACGTAGGAGCTTTGCGACTTGGGAAGTGAAAAAAAAAAATATGGAAGAGTCTGCTTTTAGAACTGAGGAACCACGGAATTGCATTGGCCTTTTGTATCTGTTACGTCCAGGAATGCTCCTTTCCTACATTTGTATTTCTCTCTTGCCCGGCGTTTATTTTTACCAACCTCCTTCCTGACAGCTGTCAGAGTTTTCATACTGGATTGGTGACCTCAATTTTCATGCTCCCGCGGAGACCGGAGGAACGCCGCGCTAGCGTCGGCTTTCTCGCGCTTAACTTTCCTTCTGTGCTGTCATTGGCTGTTGCTGCTCCAGAGCCCGCCCCCAATGACCTAAATGCTGATTGGATGCCAATGTCCTTTTTTTGTTGTTAAGGCAAGAGGTGGATCCTGGAGGAGGAGGGAAACGATTGGGGCGCCGGGCAGCTAATGCGCATGCGTGCCGCCTGGAGCGGGGATTGGCGGGACGGGGCGGGGCTTCCGGCTCGGCGCAAGCTCTGTGGGCGGAGAGGGCGGAGCTGCCGGTGTCAATTGCTCCAAGTGTTGGAGCCCGAAGCATCCTCCCGGTACCTGCCCCGCCCGGCGCCTCGAACGGCAGGTGAGGGCTCTTGGGCAGCAGAGGGCCTGGCCCGGGCGACTAGAGTTGTGGCCTCGGTCCCGCCGAGGACCCAGCGTCCGGGACGGGCTGGATCGGGCCCAGTGCACCGGGGCCCGGGAGGAGCGGCCTGGGGCCTGGGCGTCTGGTGGGCGGCTGGGACCTGGCTCCCTGCAGAACCGCCGCGCATCTCTTTTTCTCATCGTCTCATCATTGCGCTCAGAGGTTCCTCTGGGCGTGGGGGCGCCCGCGGCCCCTGACGGAACGTCCTGCCGCCTTCTCCCCGCCGCCCTGGAGCCCAGGCCGCTGTCCAGCACCCCCGCCCTCCAATGGGGCCGCGGGAGGGCGTGTGGTGCTAGGGGACCTGGCGCGCCTGGACTTGGCCGCCGCTGCTCTGGGGGCAAGTGAGCGGTACGGTGAGGGCTGGCGACATCTGTCCAGGCGTTGAAAGTAGCTCCCGGGTTAGCATCTTCTTGGGTGACGTGTTTGGGGGGGTTCTGTTGGAACCGAGAAAGAGCAGGGCTTTTGTTGTGCAGCGCATTGATCCCCGTACTGTGACGTAACGGTGTTTCGGACGTGCTATGACGTGGTCTCAACACCGTTTCTGCACCCGGATCCACAGTTCTCTCTATATATACTCTGTGCTGTGCTCATTGCGCTCAATATACATAGCCGTTTCCTCGGAATCTGCCTCCCGTTCAGATCCTTGGTTGGCCAAACAGTTCCTTAATTTGTGGATTTGTGTAACCAGAACAAGTCAGAACTTGAACGGGCCCGAGCGAACAAATCATGTTCACAGTTGATGCAGCTTGAAGGGAATGTAATTTATCCTCAGTTTCGTAATTAGTAGAAATATCAAAGGGATTTGACATCAGGAGCTGCAAAATGTTTGGCAAACTTGGATTAAGGTCCTATTACAGTTTCTTCCATTGCATGATGTTAAAAGGGGGCTTTGTAGTTAGACGTGGGTTCAAATAATTGGTACAGACGTTGGCTCAGAAATCTAAGGCAAGATGCATAGACTTTCTGAGATATAGTGTCCACATCTGTAAATTGCAGTGTTCTATTGATTTGATGCATTTAAATATGTGAAGCATTTACTATATTAATGCAGAATGACATTATTTTAATAGTTTTTTCATAACTGCTAGCATTGATCATTATTTCTTCTCCCTGACCCCCATCGAGAGAGAGGAACGGGGGAAGGAGAGAGAGAGAAACATTGATGTGAGAAACATCAATTGTTTTCCTCCCGAAAGCACCCAGACCAGGGATCGAAAAAAACCTTGGGATGTTCCCTGATTGGGAATTGAACCTGTGACCCTTCAGTACATGGGACAACACTCTAACCATGAAGCAACGCTGGCCAGGGCTGATCACCTTTTAAAAAAATACTGGGTGTACAGTTGTATTTTATTATGTATTTCTCTGATAACCAAGAAACAGCACTTTCTCTTATTTACTTCTCTCATGGATGGTATGTTCTTTATTTTCCTTTTGTATAATCCTGGTTTTGAGGGTGCTTTTGCTTTATTAAGCCATGGAAAGAACAGAGAAGAATATTTAGAGTTTTGGATTTGGCTGATTTACTCATTTATATCTCTTCTAGTTCAGGGAAGGATTTAAGGCAGCTTCTGTTCCTTAACTGTGAGATATTGGCAAAACGCTTTCCCTTCACGTTGGTGTCCTTATCTGCAGTGTGGGGATAGAACTTTTTGTTTCACGGGTCTCTTGCATAAGTCAAGTTAGATAGTAAATATAAAACGTTTTGCAGATTTTTAAGTGCTACCCTACACAAATGGTACCTAATGTTTATGGTAAATTTGAACCTTTTTATTACAGCAGTTGATGCTGAAAATCAGGTGGAACTGGAGGAAAAAACACGACTTATTAATCAAGTGTTGGAACTCCAACACACACTTGAAGGTTAGTTTGCATTAAGTAGCTTTCTTGAGTAACATAAATTGAAATTATGAGCCTTTGTGTTGTTAAATTTTGTTAGTGCGCAGTTTTAAAAAGTATAAATTTCAAGCCCATTTCAATAGTTTTCCTCGTCCTCTTCTCCCTGGGGCCTGTGGCTTTGACTGGTGATTTTAAAGAACAGATATGCTTCAATAAGGAAGTCAAATAGTGTCCTTAAGCTTCCCTCTTAAAATCTATCATAATGCTACTGGGTACATGAGAGCTCCTTTTCATAAGGTAACATTGTGTTACTAAGTCTTGTACTAAAAGCAGTTTTCACCCCAGAGATTAAAAGGGAATTGATCTGAGTTTTTCATTTTCTAGATCTCTTACATAAAATTAATACTAACACTGAAACATCTTTTGGTTTTTAATTAAGAGGTTGAGTTTTGGGGGGGGGTTTGTGTTTTCTGTGTGTCTGTGTTTGTTTTTGACACCAGAGTGAGCAGATCATGTCACTCCAGTGGCTTCCCTCGTCAGTTAATAAAAGCCAAGTTATTCTCTGGAAGTCTGTTCCCTTCTACCTTTCAGAGCCGTGTCACACACAGGCCTCTTACATTCTATCCCCGATACTCTGCCCCTCACATCCCCCGCTGTTCTTTCTGTGTGCTTCTACTCAGGGTCTTAGCAGTTGCTATTCCCTCTGCTTTTTCCCATAGTTATTTAGGCTCATTCCTTCACTTTAGGTTTGTGTTCAAATTTCCTTGATCAAAATAGCTGTCCCTCACTATACTGTATAAAAGGGCTACTTCCCTTTTGCTTTCGGTGACCCTTACTCTTCTTGCTTTTTCTTCTGACCCCCACTTGGGGCCCCCGATATGCATATTAAAATGTAAGCTCTGTGAGGGCAGAGACCTTTCTTTTTTGTTACTGTTGCCTCTGGAACAGTGAGTGCCAGGCTTTAGCCGGCACCCAATACTTAGTTGTTAAAGGAGTGAATGTTAGTGATGTTTTATTTGATCGTCAAGAACTACATCTTTTGAATTTTTTGCTAATGTAAAATACAAAATGTTCAATTGCTTGGAAACCAGCTTTCTATATCCAGTATATAAACTCAGTCGTGTTCACCTACCACATCTTAAAAACCCTTTTAGGTTTTAGTCAACATAAATGCTGTTTATAAAGAATAACATTTAGTCTACTGTGAAATGTCATTTTAGGAATTTTGGCTATTTGCACTCTGTTTAACTTCTAAAGTAATCTCAATTTAAAAATAGAAAATGTAAGAACTGTGTTCTCTCAAGAATGAATCTTAGGCATTTTGTACAATGGAAACATTGCCATCATGTTATCGATAATGGGCTTTTTTATTTTTAATATAGACCTCTCTGCAAGGGTAGATGCAGTGAAGGAAGAAAATCTGAAGCTAAAATCAGAAAACCAAGTTCTTGGACAATATATAGAAAACCTCATGTCAGCTTCTAGTGTTTTTCAAACAACTGACACAAAAAGCAAAAGAAAGTAAGAGATCAATATCTTTTCTGTCATGGATTGCTGCTGATCTTTTTTTAAAAAACTTGGATAGATTCCAGAAGTTATAGTACTTTTTTTTGTGGCTTCATTGAATATTTATGAAGATAATGTCATATCTAGGCAAAATTAAGAGCATAACAGACTTCCGTGAGTTTGTGTATTATGTTAGTCTATGAAAACATGAAAATGTAGAGACTTTATAATTAGAAATGCATATATTTATGAAACTTGATGTCTTATCAGATTTAGGTTCAGCACTGTCTTTTATTATATAGTAGGAGAGACAAGAAAATAACCATGTTGTGAAAAGTGACCAAAATCATGTACTGAATGCACAGCTTTATGTACCCTGTCTACCATCTTGTGCCTCTTCTTCACTTGCTTCTTTCTTCCCATTTTCCTTATCCTGAAGGAAAAACTGGTTTCACATTTGTAAGAGCAATTTTAGTAGTTAATCATTTATGAGAGTAACCTGAACAGTATTGTTGAAACTTAACCAAAAGTTAGGGCTTGTTATTTATTATACAGCCACCCGCCCACAAAATGACATTTCAGTCCATGACAGACTGAAGATACAACAGGTATATGCCATGTAGCCTAGGTGTGTGTAGTGGGCTATACCCTCTAGGTTGGTGTAAGTGCACTCTGTGACGTTTGCACAACAAAATTCTCCAGTGATGCTTTTTTCAGAACATATCCCTGTCATTAAGCAGTGCATGATTGTATTTAATACTGGGATTTAGGTAGGATTGTTGGGTTTTTTTAATCATTTGAAAACAGAAGCTATAAAAATGAAGTGGGGGTTTTCCATGAAGCTGAATTGGCAAGTTGGGAAATTTTGTGATTAGAAACTTCCTTTTACACAAAATAACTTGGAATCTGAAAAGATGAACTCTGGTTGTACGGGTGTTTGAAATACGAAAATTTTGAGGAAAAATAGAAATAGGATGGAAAAAGTACTTGGTAAATAGTAGTAACCAACTCCAAATATTTTTACTCCATATTTGTGATACCTCTGGCACAGATTAGATCTTTTGGGGAATATATATGAAAGTGGATTAAGTTTGACTCACCTATGTAAACCACATCTACAATAGTTACAAAGAGTTTGGTCTCAAAGTATATTTATAGTATCTAGCAGATCAATTTTTGCAAAATCTTTTGAGTGTGTTAGTATCAGAATCATGAATAAAATGGGAGAGTTTTCATGAAAACTAATCGATAATGTTCAGTATTTCATCTCACTACTTCTCCCAGAGTTTTCTGTAAGCCCAGCTACTTGGTATGCAGAGTTTTAATCATTCTTTAACAATTTTTTAAAAATTTAGTTTATAGATTCCATTTGCTAAGGAAATTAATATCAGAATTAATATAAAAATATAGGAAAAGAGATTCATTAATATAAATTATAGTTACTAGATTTGGGCTACTTTTAATCATGGAATAATCTTATGTTTGTATTGGTGTATGATTCAATGAATGACTTTAGCTATATGAATATACTGGTATAATCATAATGCAAAACATTTTGCATCCTTTTTGTTACCTAATTTACAAATGTTTAAAATTGTGTTGCAGTTTTGCTTTGCTGTTTAATAAAAGGCTGTTTCAGAGATTGTTTGTGTTAGTTTTTTGTTTGTTTGTGGAGAGATTGTGTGTGTTTTGATTGTGTGTGTTTTTGATTGATTTGGTTGTCTAAGTAACTGGGCGCTGTAGTGGTATATCCAGGGTTGTTCAAAGCCACGGGGTAAGTAGCATATCTTCCTTAAATAGCAGTTCCTGGATGTGTAGGGGAATAATAATTTTATTAAACAAACATTATAGGATATTATACATTAATTTTTAAAATAAAAGCAAGGAATTTGAAGAAGGATCCAAGATTTCCACAGTTGTATTTTTTAAGTTAGGCTAATCTCCCATAAAAAATGTGATAGCATAATAAATAATATAAAATAATAAAGAAATTTCCCTCCCAACTAATGGTTCTGAGGTGAGTGCTGCAAGTTGGCAGAAACTGAAGATGGCTCTGTCATTTTTAACCATGACTTCCAAGTCACACTAATTATCACCATTCTAATTTGCAGAAAAAGTGCATGGGGCACAGTTGCAAAGTTTTGAGAAAGGCTACTATTCTGCTAATGTGTCTTCCTAGAGACATAATCAATGGTGGCAAGGCTATCTTTAAAACATTCAAGAAAAAGGCAGCTACATTAGCCTGGTCAAGTTAAAAAGTCTCTTAAAAAGCTAACTAAAAGCGAAAATCTCTTTGTTAGAAAAAAGGACAAAATGTAAGTCATCTTAAAGTCAGATTGGGGTGGAAAAAGGAAAAAGCCATTTTGGGATTAAGGAAGACTATATCTGTCTACTGCATGGATCTAGTACACATTGATGAGAGTTTAAGTTTTGGTTAAACCTGTCAGCTATGGTACATTCACAGAGGGTACATCCACAGAAGTAGCAATGGGTTGGCAAAACTGGTTGCTCAGATTTCACCACTGCAAGCTCTTGGAGTTTAACCAAATGTTAAAGTTAAAACGAATCTGCAACCAAGGAAGTAAAAAAAACTTTAATAAATCTTTAGAAAAAAATGTTTACATACAAGATACCTATCAGATAAGAAGGTTTCCATAATAAAGGATTTATCTCCTGAGGTAGTTTCAGAAACATTCTCATCTATAATCATTCAGTATGTCCAGTTCATTTGGACATTCCAAATACAAAGCAAGAAAAGGGGTTCTTGCAAGATGTGTTCGTTTATTATTAAGTAAATACAAATATGATTAATTATGTATTAAGATTGCCAGCACCAATTTATGCAAGTTCAGAACACACCAATGGAATAAAGAAGGTATTTTCATTTTCAATTCACTCCCTGGAATAAGTAGACTATGTTCTGCTTCCTTTAGTAAAAGGAGAAGCTAGACACTCATTTTCCTATGCGTGCAGTCTAAATGTACTACTGGTGGGGGAGTTATATGGGAACTTAGTTGGTGCTTGTCCAAAGATGGGGTGTGTATATCCATGAAGGAATCCAAAATAGTACCCAATTAGTATAAAGTTCTTAAGATAGTATTAAAGTAGTTTTGTGGTCTCAAAGATTTAGATCACCTTCCAAAAGGTGGAACCTGTTGCCCAAACATAAAAACTTAAAATATTTTAAGTGGAACAACACAGCTCGATTATAGTATCATTCTACGACTTTTGGTAACTACTGTAGTTAAAAAGAGTAGTAGTAATAGTCGCTTCTGTCTACCTTAGAAGTAGCTTTGAAGCTAGATGAGAGAATAGACAAAGTAGATTTAAATTTGTCAGGAAAAAAGCAAGACAAAAATACAAAGCATATCTATTAGCCATTAGAATTTCTTAATGAACAGAAAATTAATTTAAAGCCTCCCAATAATAACTCACCTATTTAAAAGGATATAAATTAAAGAAGAAAAATATTTAAATTCTATTTGAGAGCAGTGTACATATAAGCAATATTATGAG